AGTAATCTTTAGGATCACACTTAAAACCGTGCTGTATAGCATTACTTATTTACTTGTGTTCAGCACTGAAGGCACACTAACTTTAGTCAAACTTTAAAAAACACAAATATAAAAACAACTAAATATCTCCCTTAAATCCCACAGTGAAGGTGTGAATTAAACTCCACTTAGTAATCTTTAGGATCACACTTAAAACCATGCTGTATAGCATTACTTATTTACTTGTGTTCAGCACTGAAGGCACACTAACTTTAGTCAAACTTTAAAAAATACAAATATAAAAACAACTAAATATCGCCCTTAAATCCCACATTGAAGGTGTGAATTAAACTCCACTTAGTAATCTTTAGGACCACACTTAAAACCGTGCTGTATAGCATTACTTATTTACTTATGTTCAGCACTGAAGGTACACTAACTTTAGTCAAACTTTAAAAAACATAAATATAAAAACAACTAGATATCTCCCTTAAATCCCACAGTGAAGGTGTGAATTAAACTCCACTTATTAATCTTTAGGATCACACTTAAAACCGTGCTGTATAGCATTACTTATTTACTTGTGAATGCAAGGTTTTGCAACCTGTTGCCCACTGTCCATATTGGCGAGAGGTTCAGCACTAAAGGTACACTAACTTTAGTCAAACTTGTGTGGCACAGACTTTGTAATATTTTTCCATTAACGCAAGAAAATAAATGTAAACTAGAGTTACAAAATAAAAGGCATATTTCAATTTATGGAGTAATAATGAGTTTTGCTGAATACACAAGTTTGTGAAAATGAAATCAAGAGACTAGGTACAATGTAAAATACAAAAAAAGCACAATATTTATTACAACACAACCACAGTATATGTGCTTGCTTTGAATAATGGACTGTTGCTTGTAGTGGATTGGAACTACTCTCTCAAGACTGATCAAATAGAGATCATCTACCAGACTGTTTAAATTCAACAATATCAGATTCACCCAGAGCAACTAACACTACCCATGTGATTAATCATTCTCATTCAAACACAGTGGATGCCATAACCTTGAGAAACCACTTAAGGACACCACTGTCTACATTCCTGAACAATGTGCAGCATTATAGCCATGGCTCCCATATGCAGAACAGGTGTAACCTCAACAGAATGAGAAAGTAACAAAGGAAGCTAGGATGAAATCAACTTGACTTTCTTGACCATGTTATGTGAAAACTGCACATATAAAAATAATTACTTCATTAAGAAAAAAATACATTAATGGAAGAATGTAGAAAAGGCAGACATGATTATATACCATAAAAGTTCCAAATCCTTACATTTTGTAGAGGCAATTCTAAACCTTTGTTTCTATACTTTGTATTCACGAGTCTCCCTTAACTACAGTACCAAAAAAAAGTTGAAGTTAATGATTTTAAGTACACCAGTTTTTCAAAATGTAAGTTAAAGCCAGTTTTAATTCAAATCCTTAATACAGTTTTTCTAGCAAGAAAGTCTGTACAAACATTATAGCACAAAACAAAAGGTAAGATTATTTAATTCTATTTTTATAATTAAGTATACAAAAAACATTTAACACTCATGGCAAACTAAAAATTTTAACTAGTAATTTTGTTTTCTTTTTTTTAATTTCATGTATACATTCTTTATGAGTAAAAACATAAAATACTTTTTTTCTCTTTCGGAGTGAGGCAAACAGAGTGAAAATTTACGATACAAGTTTACGTAGTTTCATTATAACCTCTACTGTGACAAACACAATAAGGCTTCATACATTAGAAGCGATTATTTATTACCTTGATTGAGGCAAACAGAGTGAATATTTACGATACAACTTTACGTAGTTTCATTATGACCTCTACCGTGACAAACACAATAAGGCTTCATACATTAGAAGCGATTATTTATTACCTTGATTGTAGCATCTTCGCTGGAAGACACTATAAGGCTAAAAACAGGGTGAAAAATAACTCTGGTCACTGGTGATCGGTGCCCTGTAAGAGTATATCTCTCAGGGGGTCGAGGGATCCATTCCGAAGGGGATCTTTTCTCTCGAGTAGGAGCACCAGCTATATATTCTTTCTCTGCTTCAGCTAACTTTGTTTCTAAGTCCATAACCTAATATAGAAACAAAGAGATAATATAAATACCATTACTCTTTAATATGTATTAGATTCGTATCATAAACAACAGGATTACACTACAACTTAAATCACCTCTACATTTCATCAGAATAATGAATTTAAAAACATTACAACAATTGTAATGTCATACTATAAAGAGATCCATGTTTCCAGGTTACTTTAAAAAACGTTTATACAAATTAGTCAATTTTTCTCTATGTCTCTAAATAAAAATCCAACACTGCTAAGTTTTAAATGTGTTTCATGGTTTGCGGCTGAAGGTTCATGGATTTAACTGTAACCTTCTCAAGATCATTTACTTACACGTAAACAAACAATTATGTACGAAAATCGATGTTACAACCTAAATAAAGTCATTTACTGTGATCGCTATGTGTACGGGATGGGAGAAAAGTTACTACATCGTTGGTATTATACTGTTGATACTAAAGACAATATTACAAAATCAACTGAAACCATTTTAACTTATTATTTGTTTCAGAGTGACAGTCAAAAATCAAACTGTTTCAAATGAAACAACTGTATAATCACTTTCTCTCCACCCTGTACACTATTTTCACAGTTACTATTTTGCATTTTTTACCTTATCCAGCATGAGAGAAAACAAAACAACCTAATGTAAAGTTAAAACCATGTGACCACCCCATCTGATCATCCTTTCCCTCAGGAAAAAAAAAAAAAGAGTACAAATATAATATATATCCAATGTTTTATTATACAGTGTGCATGATGTTCATGTTATGTAACTAAATAAACTATTTTACACATTTTACTTTTGAGTAAGTTTGCCTTCCAGGAATAACAGCAGTTTAAACAATGTTCTAAAACATTGGTTCTCAAGCTTTAAGTTTGCCTTCCTGGAATAACAGCAGTTTAAACAATGTTCTAAAGCAGTAGTTCTCAAACTTTAAGTTTGCCTTCCTGGAATAACAGCAGTTTAAACAATGTTCTAAAGCAGTGGTTCTCAAGCTTTAAGTTTGCCTTCCTGGAATAACAGCAGTTTAAACAATGTTCTAAAGCAGTGGTTCTCAAGCTTTAAGTTCGCCTTCCTGGAATAACAGCAGTTTAAACAGTGTTCTAAAGCAGTGGTTCTCAAGCTTTTTTGTTCATAGACCATATGATTTTTTTTTTAAATCTCAGAAGATCACAGTGGTATCTATACACTATGCTGCCATTTCTTTTACACAAATGTGCAATCTTTCCACAGACCACAGATTGAGAATCTCTGTCCTAAATGTTTACAACAGGACTTCTGAACAATGTGTTCAGCCAATTGAAGGAGTACAAGAAGATACTACGTTTAGAAAAGATATCCTGTCCTGAAGGTACCAGTGAAACTAGCTTTTAGTCTATGTATAGATGGAGTTTTCTTAGTGTATAATTTATGCTTATTTCTGATTTATCAATAACCCTATAATAATAATGAACTGTTCTAGATACACCCAAGTTTTAAGGATAAATGATCAATGATTTTCTATTCCTGTAGCAGTGGTACTTGTTCTGTTTAACTTTACTTACTCAACCACAGTAGTATCCTGTCACCTAGCAGCAGACCTGGCAGTAGCCACTGTGTAGCTCCAAGTAAGACACAAAGTGAGAAAACCCTCATCATATTATGATGAAATTGGTGCATTCATTAATGGGTCAATCATATGATTTTTGGATTTTTCAGCTTCATCTTTAAGAATTGCTCATACAAATATATATATATATATATATATATATATATATGCAGGTCCCTTCCTAGGCAATGGCCTTTAGCAGCTGCCTCACCTTCAGACTGGCTATACTTGACAGCACTGTTGGGATAAGTTCCCAATATAGCAAGGACACCTTGTCTTTAAGCATTTTTATTTTCTATTTGTAAAAAGATGAAGTAATATGTATAACAAATTGGGCCTGTTACAACAGAAAGTTTACATAATTTTGGTTGTTAATTTTTCATGAACAAAAGATCTTTTAAACCTTTTTCTGTAGTCTGATGACTGAAGTCCACTTTTTCTCTAAAAGTCCAACATATTTCTTGTCTATTTCTCCAGGCTGCAAGAAAAGAAAATACAAACTTCTTGAAGATCTACAGTTAAGGAAAGGTGTTCAGTGATAGAGACTTGTAAACTATTTTAGTCTACCTTTCTTTACAAAAATCTCAGCTCTAATACTCTTCGGATCACAGTGCTTCTATAAACATGTGTAATACAATTCTAGCCGATGTTGGCTAAGTATTTGATGAAAGATCACAGCTTGTTTTATAACATTCTGTGTTAAGTATACCAGATACAAAAACAAACTGTTCTGAAGTGTTTGTGTCTTTTAAATATTCAAGTTTATTGCACTGTTTGTCTTACCATGTACATAATAAAAAGACAAAACTCTAAATATTTACATTACAACTTACTTTAAAGTGTAATCAAGGATTAACGTACGTTAAACAAAATCAGCTGTTTCAAATATCATAACTTAATACAACCACTTTTGTTACAAAATATGAACACTAAACCTTCATCATACTAGTTACCACAGTCATCATACTTAAATTATATTTAAAGTGCTACTAAACTGATTTTATTTTCACATTTTTGAATGTGTATATAAGATATGAAAAATATATGGTTCCTTTTTTCTTAAATCCTTTCTTTACAGTTTCAAGGACTAAACTACCTACACATCTAGCAAGCATATCAATTTGTGGAAAAAAAGACAATTTGGGGGGATTTTAACATTTACCATATCTGCTTCTTTCTTCAAACATTCTAAAGCTTCCATATATCCACTTGATGCAAGATAATCTGCAATGGCTTTATTTCTGTACAAGAAAGACAAACAAATTAGCTCCAAGTTCATCAAAGAAGTAACAACTCAGATTTTTAGTACTTTATTTATAAAAAAAAATATGCAAAAACCAAATTTCCAACTAACCTTTCCCCAGCATCTCCAAGAAAGAAAAAAAAAAGATTTATTTTAGGCGTTCTTAATTCAATCAACTACACTTTACGATTGCTTTATATACTTTGAAACTCATGCATTAACAATATACAGAACCTAAATGTTTCATACCTTTACTTAAGAATCTGCGCAGGAATGATGATGTTTTTTTCTGCAAAGTACGAGATGACTAGTGTACAATCATATACTTGATTTTTGAGTAATATACAGACGTGATTTTACTTTGCACCAGAGGATGAACAAATAATACATTCTTTTGGTTAATTCTAAACCATAGCCTTCATTGCATAATACTCTCTTCTTCACTTCTTCATTACATGTGTATTTACGTCAACTGTCAGTTTCCTCTGTGTAGATGTTTGTACTAACAGCAATATTGTGTGTTTATTTAAGTATAGGTTTGGCACACTAAGAGAGTTGCTCCAGTGCCTACCCAACTTAACTCGTAAAAGGTACCATCTGACGATATTCAGTCCCAACACTTACAAACCCACTTGTAACACACAAAATTAATTTTTTGTGACCCAGTGGCCCACCTGATAAACAGAAGCTAATTATAAAAGACCCACCTGTAAACAGAGTTAGCACAACAATCTCTGATGCCCCCTACCCATCAACAACTAGGGGCACCAATACTTCACCCCTTACCTTAACACCTTCCTGCCATAAAATTACATGAAACAATCAAAAAGATGGTTTTTTTATCTATCTAAGTTACAATTTAATGTATTATTCTACTCAGGTAACATTAGTAGGGTTAAGCTGTTGGAGGAGTAAAATATTCTTGCTCCAGGTCCTTCACAATACAGCAATACTTCACCCCTTACCTCAACACCTTCCTGCCATAAAATTACATGAAACAATCAAAAATATGGTTTTATCTATCTAAGTTACAATTTAATGTATTATTCTACTCAGGTAACATTAGTAGGGTTAAGCTGTTGGAGGAGTAAAATATTCTTGCTCCAGGTTCTTTACAATACACCAATACTTCACCCCTTACCTCAACACCTTCCTGCCATAAAATTACATGAAACAATCAAAAATATGTTTTTTTTCTCTATCTAAGTTACAATTTAATGTATTATTCTACTCAGGTAACATTAGTAGGGTTAAGCTGTTGGAGGAGTAAAATATTCTTGCTCCAGGTCCTTCACAATACACATATCCCCGTTTCCTTTCTGCTTATAATCTTACCTACATAGCAAAGACAAAAATGAGAAACCCTATAACCCAAGCCTTTTTGAAAAGTAGACCTTTTGAAAGTGCACAAGTTATAGGTTGGATTTTTCATTTTTATCTTTCACTGGTTTTTTTCAACCTATGTGTTTTCTTAATATCATGAATGAACCTACATAATAAAGATATTTTGAAATTATTAATACTTCCAACTTGAGGAATAAAGAATACATTTTTCAAGATTATGCTAAGTACTTATGAGCGAAACTGACGAAGAATGTATAACAACATTCAAACTACACTATATCCAATTTTGCCCCATAGCAGCATTCAACCGGACCGGCTGAATTACGACACACACACAGTATTGGTTGAGACACTATTTATATTATCAACCTGTACAAACAACTGTTATGGGGATGTTAAATTATTAAATTTAATCCAAATTTTATTTTACTAATTCAGTGGTGACTGGTGAATAATATCATATCAAGACACAACAATATGACACATCCAGTTAGCCAGAGATCCTGTGTTCGTATCCTGGTCCCACTTTAGAATTTTCACTGAAATATTTATTATTAATTATTATGATAATATTACTATTTCATAATTTTCTATCAAAATTTAAATACATACACACAAATATTTAAGTATGATTAGTCATCTATAGCACTTGGTAGAATGGTGGTATTTCAGCCTACTAATTGCCCGACCATAACAACACAACCTAGTATGATGATCATACTCATAGTAAGGGGCTTTACAAGTGAATATTTAGTATCGTAAAAGAGAGATTTACTTCATACAGCCTGAAATTAAATATATATATAAAATTATCAGAATTGGTAGGCAAGCCAATTATAGGAAAAATAGAAGGTTTGATGTGTAGTGTTGAATGTTAGTTTCAAAAGTTACAACAATAACTTAAATAATACTAGTTAAATTGGCTAACAATAGTCCTTCCAAGGCTACCAAGATTAAATTCTATTTCATGTTCATTAGCATACAGTATAATTCAATGAAGGTTTTCTTACATTTCATTACAGATCTGTACAAAACATACAGGAGGGACTGGCTAATTTAGCCTAATTAAAAAAAGGCTTATTAAATTACATTATGGGTTTGTAGAAAACATAATATATCCTTATTTGTTTAAATTAAATCTTTTTATTAGTATAGAAAATAAGTGATTTACGGTATACAGTTTTGTGAATGGTCACAAACGAACAGCAGAAAAATCTAATCCCTAAGGATTATTCTCAGCTTCCCATAACATACACGTAAATAAAAGTAACAAAATCAAGATGTATTTACATTCTGTTATTTTTTCTACGAAAGAAGAAATAAAATTTCTTTCAAATTCATAAGTACATTGTGCACGTGAAGAACACGTGCATTGCCAGAGCGCGCACGGTGACTCACGTTTTAGTAGCGAGTGAAACACGGTAGACATATGAAATCGATTGGCCTCGTGTCTGTTCCGGCTTCAACCGGTAACTTGGTTGGAGTTCTATAAATGCACATATAACTATAACTTTTTTTCACTTCGGACATCTACTCTTCATATAAAGTACGACTTGATAATACTTATATGCTCAAATGGTACAGCACGTAATACTTCAGCGTCAAATCTATTAAGGATATTTTGATTTAATATTTTTCATTAAAAATAATTTATAAACAACGAATCAGGTATTTCAGGCGAGCTCTACATTACAGCATCAACCTAACAATTTGAATACCTTTACATCGCTAAAATAATAATAAAAATAATATCCTTAAGGTGACGTGTGCCAGACATTTTTGTGTGCTTTAAAGCTTGGAAAACGTAATGCAAATACACGAGTTTGTAAGTTAGTTTGTTTGCTTGTAGTTAAGCGCAAAGCTACACAAAGGGCTGGCTATCTGTGCTCTGGCCACCACGAGTATCGAAACCCGGTTTCTAGCGTTGTAAGTCCGCAGACACGCCGCTGTGCTACTGGGTGGGGGGTGAGGGGAGATACTCTAAGAATTCCGAGTCTTACAAACACTTAAACCTTTCTGACTGTCTAAAATTCGATGACGAGGAACCCACTTTGAGACTAATAATGGTTGGAGACGGCTTGAATGGGTAATGACTGTCTAAAAATTAAGAAATTTCATATTGATCAACTTCTGGTAAAACGAGTACCTTACATAAACATTTTGGTGCTACAATGATTTCTCTAGTGTATAATACCACCAGTACTACCATATTAAATAAAACCGTCGTGTAGCCAGACAACAAAATTTCTTTATTATAACTCGCTCACAACAGCTACAATATTTCACGTGCGATACATTCCGACTAGAAAAATCGACATATCCACCAGCTGCTGCTGCTCATGCGCAGCTGGCAAGCAAACAACTTGGGACACCCAAATGTCGATAAGACTTGCGTGACAGACACTTAATTAAATAAAAATTATTCTCACACACAAAAAAAAAATTACAGACGTTTTAACTGTTAATGATAATTAGTATTCATTTAAAAACTAGTAACAAAAAGGGAAAAGCAGAGTAAGAAAGAAGACGTGTAGTTTTTATTTATTTAACCGAATCTTCAAGGTACACCACCCACACAATAAAAGTTTGATTATAAATATTCCGATGTTGCTTGTAAAGAGCTAAGCACTGGTTTATTTTACTTCCTTCTTGGGTTGTTTTTATCAAGTTAAACGTTTTAAATGAACTGCTTGCACAAGTAAACACGACTTGTTTTCTTTTTTTATGCGGCGAATTACAGCTACTACTACTACTAGACTGAATGTAATAGGGGAAAACTACATAATTGGTCGTCCGTGTCATATTTGCGTAAAAGTTATGCTATTATCTTAGTCTAATTACGTGAAAGTGGGTTTGTACTTATTCTAAAACTTATGAGCGAAAGAAAAGAATAATATATCAACCACAATACATCTGCTATATCCCGTGCCGAAGAGGCCTTTCGCCTAATACCAGGACTCAACGGGCCGTCTGGGATACGAAAGACATAGTTGTGATATATGCGCTATTTAAATTATTGATTTCCAATGACAACAACTGTTATCAAGCCAACCATCGATCCCATCGGGAGAACGCTTCAACAGTGTCCCTAGACCACAAAAACTATGAATTACCACGTATTTAGCAGTGTCCCTGGGCCACAAAAAACTATGAATTACCCCGATTTTAACAGTGTCCCTGGGCCACAAAAAACTATGAATTACTCCGTTTTAACAGTGTCCCTGGGTCAGAAAAAACTATGAATTACCCCGTTCTAACAGTGTCCCTGGGCAACAATAACTATGAATTACTACGTATTCAACAGTTTTTATTGATAGTTTTACTATTTATCCCTGTATTTGTTAACAGTTAAACCCACCTTTTCACACAATGATTATGTTTATCCAATTTTGAAGATCGTAATGATAACACTGCAGTTTTATTGGTGGACTGTCCGGTTGAAATAAATAGTTATCTCCCTTTATCTGAAGATGGCCGGATACAGAAAGATAAAATAGTCTGGTAGAATAAACATGCAAACGCGGACGGACACGCACAGAGATGACAAAATCTAAGTGGTCTGAATTTTGTGGCAATGTTTTTGATTGTTATATTATTCATACTCCCTTAAAACATGACAGCGTATACAACACTGCACACACTTTTAAATTGCAA